TAAAAAAAAAAAAGTGAGACAAATGCTACTTGATGCCTGTCTACAAATTGTATGATAATCCTATTATTGTGAGGTGAAGGGTAAAAATGTGAAGTGATCTTGCTCGATTAACCATTATTGTGTAAAGGGCCACATATGGTATATTCTGAAAGTCAAGCTGAGAGCCGATTAAAATTGCTGGCCTGCTGGCCACAATTGGCCCCCGGGCCAAACTTTGGACATGCCTGGAATATACCAATGGTTATGGTAAATGGATGGTACTAGTTTCCGTTTCTGGTCTTTCGACCAGTCAAAGCGCTTTCACGCTATGTCACATTCACCCATTCCAATACACATTCACACACTGGTGACCAAGGCTACCATACATGGTGCCACGTGCTACTCAGTAAGCATTCACATACACTCACACACCAATGGTACAGCCATCAGGAGCAATTTGGGGTTCAATATCTTGCCCAAGGATACAACATGCGGACAGGAGGAGCCGGGTTGTCCCGCTCTACCTCTGATCTACAGCCACCCCGTTATTCAGAGCACCGTACTTTCTGAGCAGCAGTGCTCACTCTGTTCACGCTGTCTCAGGAGACAGAGCAGCAGAGCACCAAACGTTGCGTCTCCTGAGACAGCGTGAACAGAGTGAGCACTGCTGCTCAGAAAGTATATATATATATATATATATATATATATATATATATATGTATATATATATATATATATATATACATATATATATATATATATATATATATATATATATATATACTTTCTGAGCAGCAGTGCTCACTCTGTTCACGCTGTCTCAGGAGACGCAACGTTTGGTGCTCTGCTGCTCTGTCTCCTGAGACAGCGTGAACAGAGTGAGCACTGCTGCTCAGAAAGTACGGTGCTCTGAATAACGGGGTGGCTGTAGATCAGAGGTAGAGCGGGACAACCCGGCTCCTCCTGTCCGCATGTTGTATCCTTGGGCAAGATATTGAACCCCAAATTGCTCCTGATGGCTGTACCATTGGTGTGTGAGTGTATGTGAATGCTTACTGAGTAGCACGTGGCACCATGTATGGTAGCCTTGGTCACCAGTGTGTGAATGTGTATTGGAATGGGTGAATGTGACATAGCGTGAAAGCGCTTTGACTGGTCGAAAGACCAGAAACGGAAACTAGTACCATCCATTTACCATAACCATTGGTATATTCCAGGCATGTCCAAAGTTTGGCCCGGGGGCCAATTGTGGCCAGCAGGCCAGCAATTTTAATCGGCTCTCAGCTTGACTTTCAGAATATACCATATGTGGCCCTTTACACAATAATGGTTAATCGAGCAAGATCACTTCACATTTTTACCCTTCACCTCACAATAATAGGATTATCATACAATTTGTAGACAGGCATCAAGTAGCATTTGTCTCACTTTTTTTTTTTTAATCCCACTTGATGCGAGAATCAGTTGGCCCCCAGGTATTTTCATGATGTTTTATATGGCCCCCGTTCAAAAAAGTTTGGACACCCCTGGTATATTCCAACAGCACTCTGGATTTACAAACGGTCCAGTTTGTGTCAGAGTGTGTTCTGGTGCGTGGAGTGACTGAACATTACCCTACTGTTGATTAATTGAGTACACATTTGGCCGATTTGAGAGGAAGGGCTGGGGGGGACAGGCAGAGAGCATGGCACCAAGGTCACAGTGGCTGATAGCATTCGTCTTTCAGAAGGGCATCGAGGCCAGATCGAGGGGCAACAACAGCCGGTGAAGTTCCTTTCGTGGCCTGGTTGATGCTCTAACCAGTGACCAACATTACAAGTTAAACAGGACAAAGAAAAAGGAAACATAACCTCACACACTGTAAGAAGAAACAATTTGTTTTAATTTAAAAAAGTTAGTGTCCGGGCTGCCTTAAAGTTTTAAGTTGACTGGATTTGAGAAGACAAGTTGAGGTAATTTTGCAATGATTCAACATGTCTTTTTAAATTCATTCAACTCAAAGATTTAAGGCAGCCCATGCACTTTTTTTTTTTTTTTACGTTAAAACAAGTTGTTTCTTTTTACAATGCATCATTCTATCTGTTTGTTTCTTTAAACCTCTGGGAAAGTGTATTTTCCCACAATCCCCTCATGACAGGTCCACATTTTTACACCACCAGGCTTCCACACAATCACAGTCAGTTTTAACACCAAAAACCGTAGCGTTCAATCGCCAGACAGAGTGAACATTAACCAGATTCCTTATTTGTTTCCCAAGATACAGGGTGTATCATTTAATACATATTTTAGTCTCTGACTTGTCTCTGACTTTTGGCAATTCTCACAACTTCAATAGTTACTTGTTTGTCTTTTCCGCACACATTTCCCCTTTTTGTCTGGGAATTTAAACCAGCAACCATAGTTCTAAACTGCTTTGTAAACCTTGAGGCTAAGATTGATGTTGTTTATTTCTGTAATCTGGTGTTGCCAGACAAGTCCAGCAATATGAGTAAAATAAATTTGAGCAACAAATGAAACAGGTATGAAACAGGTATACAGAGAAAGTGCAAAGCAGATAGAGGTGGGGAGAGTTGGATGCACACAAAGGCACGAAAAAGGTTGGAATGCCGGGCCGAAAGGGACTACAGGAACTCTCCATAGTAACATTATCAGTTTATTGAACCACCTGGGAGCTGTTTTGGCCCCTTTTGACGCTTATCTGCTTTATGTTCTTCCCACGAGCTCGGCCCCTAATCTGTTCACACCCCTCGCTCCTAATTTTCCTCTTCTCTCCTGCAGTAAAACACAAAATGAACTCTAACAAACCGAGTCCTTGCAGCTGCACTGCACTGAGAGCACTAACATGCACGCAACAGCCCACAGCTGTAGAAGAAAGCTTTTCTCAGGGTGCCTGGGAGGCCATTTTTGACTCAAGTGCCCATAAAGGGAGTTGCAGAATGGAACTCTCCTCTCTCGTCTCCTTCCTTGCGTCCTAATTTCCTTGTGCTGCATGTCAGGAGGGGCTCTGCGTCAAATCCACCGCTGCAACAGCTGCTCCAGCGGCTTCTGCGCGCATGCACATGCTCCAACTCACGCACACGCACACACATAAGCGGACTCCCACAGCAGCAGGAAAGCATCCACCAAAGGCTCAAGACGCCCACTGATGCGCGCCATTACGCAAAGCTGCAAAGACCACATGTCATGTCAGACAGCCAACTGCACCGCAGCACTTTTAAGGCCATTACGCAGAATTGACTAAGTGTTATGTTGTCAGACTGAACACACACGGGCGGGCACGCACGCACGCACGCACGCACGCAGCATGAGTATTTTGGGTTACTGGGCTATTTGGCTCTAATCCCATTACCAGCTCCAAACATTCAAATTCTGGTGTCTGGCGTGGAGACTTAACCCTGCGCGTTTTGGGGTTTCCACACATGCACTCAGCTTAATGCAAAACACACTTTAACCCAAAGTCCCCACAGAAAATTTCAGCCCCATAAAGTGAAGATTCTTCACATCTTATTTGGCATAACCTTAAAAGTTTGCCCAAGCGGATAAGTATTTAACTTGAGCCTACATTCCCGTGACACTCACTTATCCCAAACCATGATAATGTACTTAATTACATTTGTCCAAAAAGACAGCATAGGACTGCAAGAGAGGTTGAATAGGACCACTGCGCGCACAGGGGCCGTTCACTCTCTCCACCTCATGCGCATGCAGGCTATAGCTTACATGCATACACAAACAAATGTGCACGCATGCACACGGGGCAAGGAGAAGGGGGGGGGAAGAAGGCCGATTTAATGCATAGTCCGCCTTTGTGTTCGGAGTCAACTGTGACATATCAGCTTTCACTCCCACTAACAGCGAGCCGAGGCTCAATTAGCGCATCGGTAATCCAAAGATACAAGCTGAACCACATCTGAACCGTTCCCGTGCGCATTGAGCCAGTTCCGCTCCCTCCAACGCGCCGCACACGCCTTTGAAAAGCGCAAGGCTCCCGGGTGCATGTGAAAACAGCAGGAGTCTTTAATGTTTGTGTGCGTAAACGAGCTTGGGAGAGACCCAACCCTTTTGTCTACCTGTGCACAGAGGGAGAGAGACGGGTAGGAGAAGTGAGTTTGTCCGCGCTGGTTTGCCTTGAGACAGCGCACGGCGCGTTGCGTCTCACATTCTACTTATGTTTTACCTGACAAAGCTCAAGCTTAGAGGAAGAAATAAGTCCCTGAACACGTCATGCAACTCCTCGGTTGTACGAAAAGTGTACATTTAATTTGGATCACTTAATTCAGACGCGTCTGTGGTGCCAAATTTAGTTATTTCCAAAACTTCTGAAAGCGGTTTATGCAAGTTGTAACTCCAGCAGCTCCTGTTCATCGCACAGTTCGATGCATTTAAAGTACAACTTTGTGAGTCCCTGTCATCTTTTAAAGTCAATTGAACATACTGAACACTTTGGGTCAGTCATTGTCACTCCACTTGTGTCAGATTCGTCAAGAACCACAGAGTTCTTAAGCGACAAAAATGCTTCACGAAGTACCAAATAAAAATGAATAGAACAGTTCCTACCGTAATAAAGGTAACCATAGCATCGGCGGGTTAGTATCCAACAGAGTCGACATGAAGGTGATTAATTTTTTGACAGAATCCTTTGGCGAAAACTTCTCACTTTGTGAGGGCTGCCGCCTGTCTGTGCGCCACACTGGTTCTGTGTGGAGAGGATCGGGGTGTGCGTAATGCGCTATCCCTCTCTCTCTCTCTCGCTCTCTCTCTAACACACACACACGTAGACACACACACACAGACACACACACACACACACACACAGACACACACACACACACACACCCTCTCTCACACTCTGTCTCCCTCTCTCTCTCTCTCTCTCTCTCTCTCTCTGGACAACATAATCTACGCCGCTCTTTCTGTAACAGGACAGATGGCTCTTGGCGCATGTTGCTGCAGACCTGCATGCATGCTGCCACTGTCTGTCAGCGGAGCGAGCCTGCTGACATGAATTAGGACACCGAATTAGAAGCGTGTGCGTGTGTGTGCGTGACCAAAGCAACCTTTATATCTTTATGTAGTGCTGGCTGACATTTTACAGGTTCCACAAGACTCAAAGTTTCATGTCAAACACAGCTATATGCCTGTAAGAATAATAAGAAAAAATCCTCAAGAACTACAGAAGCACTAAAGTAAAATTAAAAAATAAACAATTTGCTCCATTGGAATATGGACAGAAATTAGTTTATACTTACTACTGATTAAACATGTGCACTAAATTTCATGTATATTTAGGTTATCATTGGCAAAGCAAAGCAAAAGCTGCACAGTAAAGTCGCTATAAAATTTAGGTTAACTGTTAAGTGGTTAACCACTGAGAATTTCTTTTTCCAGTTGGGCATGTCAAATTAATTTCGCTACTCTTCAGGTTAGTGCTCTGTGCACCACCTGGGTCAGGTGCGAGCTAGCTAGCAGCACTGTTCATCCAGCAATTACTGCCAGTTACGGCCATAGACTGTATAAATACCAGACATGGCCACCGTGATGTCACCAACTGGGCTGTTGACTCCTGGTTTTTCAACCAGGTCTCACTCCGAAGTTGTCGAAATCAGGCACTTGGGCAGTGACTTGCGGTGTCACACACAGACGAAAAAAGCCGTCCTTTAACATCGACATGATATGCAGCCGGTCGCCTGCAGTGTCAGGGGGATGCGCAGCAGGAAGAGAACAAAAGTTAAAGCGGTGAAAGTCCGAGGAGGGTGGGTGGAGGGGGTGGTGGATCGGTCCAACAACACTGACTTTGACCTGGAGAGAGCAGGGTTCATGTCCCGCAAGATTATAAAGCCAAAAATGTGTTTTTGTCGTCAAATGTAATCACATGCATTTTTTTGTCAAAGGGAGAGTTGTACAGACATAGTGAGTCTATTTTGAAAGAGACTGTAGGTAAACGCTAAATTTCCTGTGAAAACAGAAGTATATTTTGAAAGAAGACAATCCATGTAACAGGCAGAATTTGACACTGTGCCCCAGAACATCAACAACCAACTCTCCAAAGGTACCTTGCACGTCATCTCTGGATGTGGAAAGTCCATGACCAAACGTCGATATGTGACAATGTTGGTGGGAAAATGTGTTGGGTTTTTGGCCTTGAGTTCGGCCCTTTGGATGTTGCCATTTTGTTTTTTGGAGCCACAAGTGACCATATTTGGATTAGAGGCTGGTGCTGTCAAGGAGTGAGGGGTAGATCTGACTGACAAGCCAAGGGCACTATCGGTAGATGGCCTGTCACTCAAAGCAGCCCGCCTTTAAATATGTGTAACTTCAAGCCTTAATGAAATGTGAACAGGTGAGTTATAGACAAAAGTTCACCCCTGTACAGTTGTCACGAAGACATAATTAACTACAGAGACCAAAACTTCTATTTATTTTTATTCTTTTTGTACCAGGCTGTAAACATGTTTATTTCTGCTGTAAAGTTAAGCATTTTAACATGACGGTCTTCTGGAGCCAGTCTCAAGTGGTCAGTGTCTTCTTTATAGTTTTACTGCAGCAGCTGGAGGCTCAGCTTGCTCAAATGCACTTAGTATCTTGAGGACCTGTAATTTTATTCACACCTATCCATGGCATAAATATACACTAAAAAGTGTCATGTTTCCAACTGAACTGATCATTTCATCACTGACCAGAATAACAGCATCAAACAAAGAGGCAGACTTTGACACTGAGTACCGTGGTCTCCCATCTCATACCAACACACAACACTGGTTTATAAACCATGACCATGAACTTTCTCTAACCTTAACCAAACAGTTTTCGTTGTCTAACTTTAACCAAAGCTCGACCACAGAGATGGCAGATAAGAAAACACTAATGTGACTAATTTATTTGTAACAGTCAATACTATAAAGCACTAACAAATGACCGATTCTGTCTTTAGTGTATCTGCTCACTGGACGTCACTGTGTTGTGAACACAGCGGATTCTCCAGTAGACACACATGGTTTAATTCCATAGATGCGTATTTGTGCATTCAGCTTATGAATCCTTTTGGACAAACTCTCGTCTTTCTGTGTCTGAGCGGATTTTAAAACCCAAGACATCAAAACACACTTGGCAACGTTCTGTTAGCTGCACATCTGGTCTTCCTCCTCCATCTCCTGTCAATCTCAATGGCACATCTGGTATAACTATGAATGCTTTCTTATTGGCCAGCACACACAGGCAAGCTCTGACCTGACTGATAATTGGACAGGTGGGCAGTGGATGGCGGGTGGACTGATACTATTAAACTTGAACAAAAGCAGTAGATTAAATGGCGGTGGGCACACCCTCATCTCAGGCTGTGTACTAATGCTCTGCAAATCAAATAGTTGTGGTTGGATTTAGTCTATGTTGGCGGAGATTATAGTTTTTACTATAATGGGGTTTGAGCCTGCCAAACCGCAACCACGAAGGCAGATTTGTACTGTACCCAGTTTGAGGGAAGATTTGTGTGAAAGGCTAAACCGAGGGCAGGAAAAGCCTCCCTGACAAATTAAAAAAAAAAAAAAAAAAAGTTAAAGAGACCCTGTGAAGGTTTTGACCACTGGGAGCACTATGGAGCCAAAAATCGTAATAATAATGAAATAATGTTTTGGCTCATGCAATATGTATTTTGGGGCATTCTGCTTCAGATGTGCAAAATATGGGAGAAGGGAATGGAAATGAAAACAAATAGCAGCTGATATATCCCCACAGACTGACCACTGCAGCAGAGCGCTATTTTATTGGACACATCTGGAGGATGACAGAGTAGAAACAGCAAACAGAAACACAAAGAGAGAGGCACCAATTAAAAGATGGATCTTAACGTTATTTGCCAGAGCTCTCAGCCGAGTGGCAATAAGAAAATGTAGGTATTTTACATTTTTGGAACCACAAATACGTCACATTTGTATATTTTATATGTTTCATAACCACATTTGTAAAGTGACATAATATATAAGCTGATATTCTCATCAAGAGGATGGTCAATGGTGTGTCACCTAGGCGAGATGCCTGCCAAGCTGCAGACCTCTGTAGATCACTGCTCAGGACCAACAACAAAAAAAACGAACAGTTGTGATTCAGCAAGTTATTGTTGTGTTTTCATTGGCTTTTTAGGCATCAAATGTGGACATTTTGTAGCAATCCTTCACTGTTTTTCCAACAGCTTTAAGGCATGAATTACAGACATTACTGCTTTGCCTCCCGGGAGAGTGGCCCAAAAGGATTTGTTTATGACAGAGATATGGCTGCTTTTCCTCCTGGGATAGTGGCCCAAAAAATGATTATTTTTTTACAGAGAGATCGCTGCTTTCTTGTCAGAATTGCACCCCCCAAATGGGGTATTTTAAGCAAAAACATTAACTTGGTTTTAGTGCCTAAAGTTCAATGAAATAATCAAGTCAAAGACACTAAGGTAATTTTTCATGACTCATTCAATCAATGATGTTTTTTAGCTGACAATGTTGGGCTAACAAACTATTATTTCCTCACACATACTGCAGCCTTGCTCTAGCAAGATAAATACATGCTTCTATTCTTGCTTCAAACATCACCTTGCAGCAAATCTAGCATCTCTTTGGACAGACCTTGAAACTCTATGTTGCAAAGAGTTGCTATTAAAATATAAAAATATTATGATATTTTTCAGTGAATGTGCTCTCATGTGGCTCTGGCTCTCTGGCCCTGACTGTGTTTACTAAGTGGAAGAGAGCAGCAGCATGTTGAGACAGACAACTGTGAATGTATGAGAACTAAACTGATTCCCATTGTTTGTTCGAGGGAACTCTTTGTTTCTGTTTTGAATGATTTAACTTGTGTGATTTTTTTAAATCTCAAAATACAGTTTACAATGAGTTTATTCCAGTGGCTGGAACCTCTCTAAAAATATTTTTCACATTTCTGCAATTTCAACAGACTTGGAAGAGGATGTGTTGTGGAACTTCCAGGTAATGCATGTGGTGTACCTGAATACTATTGTTTCAGTCAAAAACAACTGCATCCGTCCTTCTATTTAGTTCCGAGGGACCTATAACTTCAAAGAATACATCATCCAAGTCTCGAGGAAAACTTGTTTCTTCTTGCATACCTCCAGGGTGAACGGAGAATCCAAAAAAGGTGGATCCTCTTCATGTATTAAAGTCATTGGAGGGGATTTTTATCAACAGCGAAGCAGTATAATCCAGGTCTCATTTATCCAGTCGTACGCTCAAAAGCATGCCCTGAGCATGCATGTGCGTATGAGCTCCGCTTTAGCAGAGTTCAAACACACCTGTGCCCAAGCATGCTACCCGGCCTACATGACGTGCTGTGTTTTAAATCAAGATGTTTGTACTGAGTATACAACTGGATAATGAGACTTGGATTATACTGACAAGTTATGTGAGAGTTTGTAAACTGATGTTTTGATATACGTAGTTTTGCTGCTGTTAAGTGCGGCCTTCATGTACTTTAATTCATGAAGAATGTCTGTCTTTTTCAGATTCTCCGTTCACTGTGGAGGCATGCAAGAAAAAGTTTTCTTCACAATTTCAAGGTAACACACGGTAAGTAATATATGATATACAAAGGGTCATTTTGTGGTTGAAATATTCCTTTAAAAAGACGGGTGCAGGCGGTTATACGTGACAAAGGAATGTGTTTTAGGGTTCAAAGATGCAGC